ACTCAGGAGATAACAACATATTGTGATTATAGAAACTTTAAATTTCCTGATGGCTTTATACATGTTAGAGATTTATTATTAGAGTTAGGAATAATCAAAGGATATATCTTTGAGTTTAATAATGCTACACAATTTCTAAAATGTCTGTAAAACATCATAGTCCAGGAATAAATGCAGGCCTGGAAAATGAATGGTTTGCATTAGGCTTGCTTAGCCAGATGGTGAAAGAGTGAAAATAAAACAGTCAAACAGCATGCTATTCAGGATTGCTATAGGGTCAAATGCAAAATTTACTATTACTGTGTTGATCAAAATGTACCTGATTATAAAATATAATACCAGAGGGGTACCTCAGAGTCCCTAGCCCAACCTCTATGTTAGAAGTGGCCCAAAAAGCACAAGTGTATATTAACTGGTTGTCACTCACACAGTTTGTAACAGAGTGTGAATTAGAATCTAAGTCTCCTGACTCAGGTCCAAAAGTATTCCCACTACATGTCTCACTTCTAACTTAATCCCAACACTTTCATCCAGCTCTAACCTCAATTTTATTTATTTTGAGAGAAAGAGAGACAGCGAGAGCGAGCGGGGGCGGGGGGCGGGGCAGAGAGAATCCCAGGCAGGCTCTGCACTGTCAGCATAGAGCCGGACACAGGGCTGAACCCACGAACTGTGAGATCATGACCTGAGCCGAAACCAAGAGTCAGATGCTGAACCGACTGAGCCCTGCAGGTGCCCCTCTAGCCTCAATCTTAAACACCCTTCCTGAATTTCCATCTGCCTCTTGGATGGTGCCATGACCACAAACAGGTCCACCACTTTCTATCTTTTTTTTTTTTTTTTTTTTTTAATTTCTAGGAGAGAGAGAGACAGCGTGAGCAGGGGAGGGTCATAGAGAGAGGGAGTCACAGACTGAAACAGGCTCCAGGCTCTGAGCTGGCAGTCAGCANAGACTGAAACAGGCTCCAGGCTCTGAGCTGGCAGTCAGCACAGAGCCCGACGCGGGGCTCGAACCCACGAACCGCGAGATCATGACCTAAGCGAAAGTCGGACGCTTAACCGACTAAGCCACCCAGGCGCCCCCACCACTTTCTATCTTATCCTCCCTCACCCTCAGACTATTTCTGGCAGCCATGCTGGCACTCTCCCAAACAGGCTGTAAATCTCTACCCACCAATGTCCCAATGTTGTTGGTCTGCCTTTCAATTTCTCTCCCATCAGACTTTACTGTACACTGAGAAGTGCCACAAAAATCAACAGCTGTTGCCTAAGGCTAGATTAGGCTGGACTTAAGGGTAGGAAGCTGGATCAGTTCAGGCTTTATAAATGACAACCTTCCTCATATCCAATACACTCTTCATGTAACACAGAGTCATGATTAAGAGCAAGAACTCTGGAGCCAGTTAGCCTGCATAAAATTCTCTGCTCTGCCATTACTAGCCCTGTCACTTATTAGCTGTGTGACTTTAGACAAGTTTCTTCATCAGTTAAGGCCTCAGTTTCCTTATCCACAAAATAGCCTTCTTTATACGGTCATTACAGTGAGTAAATTAGCCAATGTACATAAAGTGCTTAGAACAGTGCCTGGCACCAAGTAAGCACTGTAAATGGTAGTTGTTGTCATTATCATTATTATTCAGAAAGAGATTCTCTTAGGTAGTGATGGGGAAGAAAAATAACAGAACCTCTGTGGTGGGAGACCTTTAAAAGACCTTCTCCCTAAAACACTGGTTAAACAGGACTACTCCTCTAGGCTAGCGACCCAAAGCTACTTCAGGCCCTGACAAACTCCTCTTCAGATCCAAGCATGGGAAGCAATCCAGTTATAACCAATAAATCAAAAGTGGCAAAGTGATTGCTTGCAGAAACAATGTTGGCCCATACTGTTCTTTAAAAGGAAATATAACTACTGTAACACATGGTAGGTTTGCTTGGCACTTATCATTTTATATCCGGACTACTTCAAGAGCTTCCATTAATGTCATTTTATACCCATACTACTTCAAGAACTTACATTATCTACCTGGCCCTCAAGACATCTGAACTTGTACCCTGGTTAAAGTCTCTGAGCTCCTTTTTCAGTACCCTCAAGGGGCTGTAGTCGCCAAACCCTTATATGTCTAGTACCACATAAATGCTTTGTCTTTACTTTTTGATTTGAGGATCACACCAGAGCGACAGTATCTTGTCTGGGATGATTTTCACAGTATGACTGTGAGAAAGCCACATAACTTGTCTTATGTACTACCAGTCATCAATTATAGTTACTTAGAACCTACAAGAACCCATATTCTAAGCTCTATCATTCTATCAAATCAAGACACTTGGTTTTTCCTAGAATAACCAGGGAAAAAAATTTTAAGTGCAAGGTTACCAAAAACATCTTTTCTCCTTTAAATATAAACAGAGCCTGCAACAATAACTGGTTACATCACCTTGATCAGCTGTTTTGTTAAATTCAGTTTTCCACTGGGAAATGATAGCATGCCTAATATTACTAGGCATGATGCAATCCTCCATTTTAATAAAACATTATAAAGATAACTATTTCTCCTAAAAAGAAACAACAGAAAACAATTTGCATTACAGAAATGTTCACTGCTTCTCAAACCAGACACAACAGATACCTCTTAGAAGTGAAGCCCTGCAGGGTCACCTGGGTGGCTCAGTCGGTTAAGTGTCAACTCCTGATGCCGACTCAAGTAATGATCTCATGGTTTTGAGATGAGCCCCACGTCAGGCCCTGTGCTGTGAGTGCAAAGCCTGCTTGGAATTCTCTCTCTCTCTCTCTCTCTCTCTCTCTCAAAAATAATTAAAAAAAAAAAGTTCAAAGTGGCTGTCCAGGTGTTTTATATTTTAGCCATCGTTGGAGTTAATCAGTGCTAGTCACCGTACTTCCTTTCTGTAGCAAAGTTTGACATAGGAACTGTGAAGACTGAAATCTCAACACTGGCTCTGATAAGACTGAAATGGAAGGTGGGGCTAAAAGGAAAATATGAACCGAACACTAGAGAGGGATGGGGTTATGCTGTCAGTTACTGCAAAGCCTCTGTGGTTTTCAGACCATCAATCAATCAGTACAACTTATGTCAAACATGGGGTGCATGTGCATGATTGAAATATTGTTTCTTGACTTGGAAGACAGTTTACAAGGATACCTGCTTTGCAACAGTCTATTTCACTGTACAATAAAGATTTCACAATTGATGGTGTGCTCTCAGAGGCTTTAATAATTAGATAAGCCAAGTGAAAGCAAGATCATGAATTAAACTGAACTGTCTTGCTCTGCTCCTCAATAGTTTCTTTTGTGATACATTCATCTGGTGTAAAAAGATAAGGATTATAATGCTAACTAAATCAAACCTCGAGGCTTTCTAGCTTTTTGTGGGGGTTGAGGGTGGGGAAGGGAATGTATGCTTTCATAAAATATATGTCTATATTCATTCATTAAATTTTAAATGATCTCACCAATTTACCTTTTTTTGCTTCCAATCTTTGTTATTTAATAGATCTGTTGATAATGTACATATTCTAAAATATACACAGATTTTGAAATCTTCTGCTTTAGTAATGTCTGCTTTTCTCCCAGCAGCTATTGGTTTTTAGAATAACTTGGTTCTGATTCTTCCTCAAAATGCTACTAGGTTATCAAAGCTAGTATTATCTATTTTTGACCTCCACTGAAAGTCAGGAAGATCTAAAATAAAATATGGACCTAATTATGCAAAGATGAATGGTTATGGGATCCAATATTGACTTGTCTAGGAAATTTACAGACACTGTACAAAGTAAATTCTGTTGTTCAAAGTTTCAGTGGTTTAAGCCCAAAAGTTCAACCTGCAGACCTTATGACTCATGGCTTAGGGGAATGATTATCCAGAGTACTCAGGATGGGAGATGAATTTATGGGAATGTAATAAAATATTAAACTGACAGATACCAGTTTTATTTACCAATTACTTTACTATATTCAGATCAATATTTTCAAAGGCGTAAAAGAATGGTCCAGCCTCAGAAGACAAGAAAAGTGCAGTAGTGGGAAAAACAAAACACTGCAAATACACAAAAATCTAAGAAATGCAGAACACAGAGAGAGAGCTCAATAAACTCCAGTTGAACTGACTTTAACAGAGAGCTGTTCGAGCTCTACACCTCACTGCTCAAACCGCAGGTATCACAATGCAATTTGTCGGTTTACAGCTGTGCTGTGGGTACCATCTGAGGATCCAGAAATGATTAGTTTATGCAAAACAGCTACACCCCGCAGACCAGGTTCTCTCCACCACTTCGGCATGTAGACTTTAAAAGTGTTACATCGCTCTGCGAATATTAGCGAGTTTGCAAAAGTACTGAGCAAATGGGGGCATAGATTTCAAACAAAGACAATTCTGGAAGGCCACAAGTAAACGGAAGTTGAAACTAGCTCGCCCATTCTGTTGGCCAAGGATTTCGTGGAATCCGCTCAATTTCTCTTCCCAATACAAAAGGTATTATTAAACCTTTGGGAGGTGTTAATCCTCTCATCAGACAACTAGTTAGAGAAATCACACAATGTGTGACCTCATCTTAGGCAGGAAATCACCCAAAAGGCTATCAGACTACGTCCCTAAAAGCCCTCAAACTCCCCAACATACACGCTTTCTTTCCAACCTTTGGGCTGAAGTTTATGCCAAAGCCAGAAACTACTAGCGCTGGATTCCACCATGTACCAGGCACGGTTTCACTCACCAGCCTTCACACAACTCTAAAACGCCCGCACTGCAAAGTCCACGTTGCAGGGGTGACTAAGCCGGCGAAACCTACTCGCCGGAAGGCTTCCACTTCGTACCTCAAGCCCCTTTTCACCCACTCCCCAAGAATGCACGCCCAAGAAAAGCAAATAAGGCGTCCAGGTCTTTCCTCTCCCGGAGTCTATAGGCGGATGCCTGGAAGTTCCACGGGCCACAAATTCCAAACTTGAAGATTAGGGTCTCCTACACTGGCACCCGTCTGGTACTTACCGGCACGTTGTTGACACCCTGTCCTTTGGAAGCTATCAGGAGAATTTCCCTGAAATCCATGTTGACAGAGGCGGAGACACTGGGCAAGGCTCTCGGAAAGAAGTGAAAGTACGCCTTACCGAGGCGCCCAGCTACAACCAAGTGAGCTGCCTGGCCCACCGCTCTCCCACCCCTCCTCAGCAAGACCACTTCCGGCGCTTTCCAATGCCGTCTGCCCGCCCCCTTTCCTCTCGTGGCCTATATTCTTTCTGGTCCGCCGCTCAGCTCTCGAGTCGCTGGCGTAACTTCCGCCTTTAGGCTCCAGACACGTAGAAACGTGGTACGTGGCTGCTGGCGTCAGCACGAAGGGGCGGGACTATCCCCTTCACGGTCCAATGAAACGAGGCCTAGTAAAATGAGGGGTGTGGCCAAGGGAGAGATCCACTTCCCTGGAGACCGGGGCTCGCGACTTGATAATCCTGGTGTTGCTTGTGAGCTGAGTAGGGAAGGCGAGGGGTTAGGGAGTTACCTACCAGGCCTGGGTTCGCTAGGTGTCACGGATGGGCTCTCAGGTCCGAAACGGCGGGACCCCAGCAGCTGAACCGACAGATCTCGAGCAGGGGGTTTCGGTTACCGGTATCTAGGCGCTCGCGAAATTGCGCAGGCGCACACGGCACCGACTAGTCCTCTGTCTTGGATTCACATTACTCATCACATCCTGGCACATGGTGTGTGCTCATCTCCACAGATACATGCATGTCGTGTATAGAGGCACAGGCTTAGTGCTTTTGCCCTATCTAGACGATAAGCTCCACGTAGTGGATGAATGAAGGAACACTTTACACAGACCCAGTTTGGATATACTTGGCCCACTAACAAAACACATATAATGGCCCGTATTCATATTAATTGGGAGTCCAGTCTTGGGTACCTTGCAAGAGTATGTGGGGCCTGTAAAGTCGTCTCATACAGTGCAATACACTAGTTAGACCTAGGGTGGGAATAGGCCACAACTAGCTGCCAACTAACAGGGCAGATATTTTCAGTGTGATGGAAATCCCGTTCCAAAACTGGATTGTGGTGATGATTGTATTGTAAATTTACTGAAAGTCATAGTACACTTAGAACAGGTGAATTTTACAGCATGTAAATTATATATCAATACAGCTGTTTTAAAATATTAGGCAAAGCTTCTTGGTCTTACTCTTTACAACTGAGGCTGTAATGCTGAGTCGGGGGCCCTGAGTACGTTTCTGCGTTTAAAGCTGCCCAAACAACAGACCAAGAGGAAGTCAGTCTGATGGCAGACCTGGAATTTTCAACTTTCCTATCCCCTCTGAGGAGCCCAGCATAGCACACAGCTCACCTATGCTATGCATTCCTTTCAAATACATACCCACCGACTTTAAGTAGTTCACACTTGCAGGAGGCTAACTCTACAAATATTTCACTCTTAGAGATTAGGTAGAGGCTTGAGTGTCATGTATTTCATAGATCAGGTAGAAGCTTGAGTGTAACGTATTGGAAAAACTAGCAGACTTCGGGGCCCTCAAGTGTAAAAAACTAAAACTAAGATTTTTCAGTTCCTTCAAGTGATTCTCTATTCAGCAGGTAGAATCCTCTTTCAATGTTTTCTGATTGATCTTAGGATAAAGACCAAAAGTTTAATCCTAACCATGGCTTGTAAGGAATGCCATGTTGTGCCCTGCCCCACTTCTGTAACATCATCAGCTCTACTTTTTCATTTCTTTATATGTGCCAGCCTCTCTTCCACTCCAAGTCCTTAACCCCTTTCTCCCTCTGCCTGGTGTGTTCCCTCTAAACTTTGCTGGGCCAGCTCTAACTCATCCTTCAGCACCATAATAAGCCTTTAGTGAGCGGTTACCTGGGTTTAAGCCCCAGTTCCATTGATTTCTAGGTATTGTATTGTTATGCCCAGATTGCGATCTCCCCAAAATCCCAAGACCACCAAGGAGTCCAAATCACGTATGCAAAAGCAAAGGGCTCTCAGACCTCACCAAAGCAGTGGATCCGTGCTGAGAGCCCCAAACAATGGAGGAGTAGGGTTTTTATGGGGTTTGTGACAGGGGAGTTACAGAAGCTGTGGCATGGGAACAGTGATCCAATCATAATTATTCAACATCATTGACAGCAGGTTTAACCATACACATTGTCTAGAGTATTCGTTACTTTTGGCGGAATCCAATTACAACATTTAGAGTACCTTTAAATTCAACCAATCACAGAGCGAGCCTAGGGTCTTGTTCGGCGACTAACGGGTTAACTTTAACATTAGGTAACAGGGTTCTATCTATAGTTTCTATCTCTAGGCCTCTCCCTTAGTATTGTGGAGGGTGGTCCCCGGCCTTTCCTGATTGGGTGTTGCAAGGGTGGTTTCTCCTGCCTTGGGCAATGTGTAACTGCCTGATAGTTTTGGGGAAGCTGAAACTTAGGCCTTCTAGTTAAGAGGGGAAATTTAAAGCCTGTCATGGAGTCAGTTTGGTTTAGACGTTTAGACTTGTGTCCTTACACTTCCCCCTCTGTCTTGTAACTGACCCAATACTGGGTCAGTCATATCTCAGTCACTTTGGTCTAATGGTTGATATTGGGCTTGTAAGACCATTAGCTGAAGGGTACCTAATCTTTGTTTTATATATTGGATTAATTTATTAAGAATGCAGGGGCCAATCGTTAGGATTAGTGATAAGATCAGTAGGGGGCCTATTACGGTAGAAATTAGGGTAGTTAGCCAGGGTGAGTTGTTAAGCCATGATTCAAACCATCCTTGGTTTTGCTCTCGTTCCCGCTTTTGTTTGGCTAGTCCCTCTCGAACTTTATAAAGATTTTTTATTACACCCGAATGGTCTGCGTAGAAACAGCATTCTTCTTTTAATGCCGCACAGAGTCCTCCTTGTTGGAGGAATAACAAGTCTAGCCCCCTTCTGTTTTGAAGTACTACTTCTGCCAGTGAAGTTAGGGACTCTTGTAAATGGGCAATGGAGTTTTCAAGCAATCTATTCAAATGACAAAATCTCAGATGGACATTGTTAAAGATTTGATGAGAGTTCAGTATGATGCAATTGACAAAGCAATTCAGTTATTTTTGTGACATATAATATTTTAAGTAATCAGAATATTACATGATAACCCGATAACAAAACATTAAAACTTTATATTTGCATATATATTTGGGCAGTTATAGCATTTACTCATGCAATACAACCTAAGGTTTACTGTTGTACACAGTGCTTTTCCAGGTAACTTAACATCTTAAGTAAATGGGCCTAATTGGTCAAAAGACCTTTTTAACTATTCAAATCCTGGGAAGTTTGTTAAAACCTTAGGAAGTTATAAAGCGTATCCTAAATAGAATTACAGATCATTACAAATCTTAAAACTTTTTCTATTCAACCAAAGTGGCAATAAAAGATCTTAAAGGCGAATGTATAACATAATATAGTAGTTAGAAACCAACATTGGTTGGAGTAGCTCCTTCAACATTGAGAAGTTTTAACTATACAATCAAAGACCTGATAAAGATGAAACCTAAAGCTTTGGTTTTCTTGGCAGCAAAAGGAGAAAACCTTTGTTTACATTGTCTTATCAAGAGCAGATTTATAATCCAAGAAAACTTTGTCTTTTGACCAGAGAGAAAAGCAGAGTTTTAACCTTATACCAGTGTACTTTTTGAATTCCATTCATCTCAACCTTCCTGAGCACATAGAATTCCTTTTCAAAGATTTCCCTTCACAGACCTTCTACACCTTTTCTTTACCTTTAAACTTTGTCCCAAAACCATTTCTTTCTAAGCAACCAGTCTTATTTAGGACAATTAATTTCTTTTACCCTCAACAAAAATGTATTTTCATTTCTTACATCTTTTTTTATGTATCTCTCAGTTTCCTATATACAGGATTGCTTTCCTTATTTTCCATCAATCTTAAATACACTTAGCAGAATTTTAACTTAGGAAACCTTAGTCTCCAATTGAGGACTTAGTAACCAATTGAGAGGAGTTTACACTAGAATTTTTGAACCAACCTCCAGTGGGCCCAGAAACCAATTAAGCATAAACCATCTTTTTCAAAAGGTCCAAATAGTCTTACTTTTTCTGTAATAGAAGATGAAAACTCAAACCTATGTTTAGTAATCATGCATTCTATACAATTTAGGCCAGACATATTTATGGGCCCACCGGACTTTCTTAAGTCATCCCGTAGGTGCTGATCTTCAAACTCATTAATCACCTGTGCTTGGAGGTTGGGAATGATGGGAGGGGTCATCTCAAACATGATTTCAAAAGGAGTTAATCCCATCTGGTAGGGAGAGTTGCACACCCTATAGAGTGCAAAGGGGAGGAGAGCCACCCAGTCTCTGCCAGTCTCCAAGGTCAATTTAGTTAAGGTCTTTTAGGGTTCTATTCATTTTTTTTCTACCTGCCCTGAACTCCGGGATCTGTATGCACAATGTAATTTCCAATTAATCCCCAGGGCTATGGCTAAATTCTGGCTGACCTTGGACACAAATGCAGGTCCGTTGTCTGACCCTATCATCTGAGGAAAGCCATACCTTGTGAAGATGTCTTCTAGGAGTTTCTTGGCCATGATCTGGGCAGTCTCACGTTTGGTTTGGAACGTTCGGCGGGCGGTGGTTCCTCAGCCCCTTGGTAGGCGTCCCTCTTCATCAAGGGCCACTACGCAGGTCGGTGCCTGCGCGCTGGTGCACCTGGCAGCCGTGCTCGAGCACCTCACCAGGGAGGTTCCAGAGCTGGCCATCTGCAACGACGAGGAGCTCAACAAGCTTCAGGGCAGCGTGACGATCGCCCAGAGAGGTGTCCTACCCAACATCCAGGCCGTGCTGCCACCCAAGAAGACCAGCACCACCGTGGGGCCGAAGGCACCCTTGGACAGCAAGAAGACCACCTAGGCCTCCCAGGAGTAATGAGGGGCGCCCACACCAAAGCCGGCCCTACATGCCACCCAGTCTTAGCCCTCGCTGACGGGAACTGCTGGAGCCAAGGTTGAATCACCGCATCTGGTGTCAGTGGAGTCTCATGCAGGTGATATTTGTCCGCCAGCCCCAAAGTGAGCACATGTATTGGTTGCCCAACCTGGTCTAATACGCTAGTCCCTTTGGCCAAAAAATGAATCTGAGCTCCCAACTTGGTCAGCAGATTGCGGCCTAGCAAGGGGGTAGGGGCAGTCTGGGATGACCATAAAGGAGTGGGGTACCCGGCCCACACCAAGGTCCACTGTTCTTCGGGTAGTCCATGGATACTGTTTCATCCCTGTGGCTTCCTGGACCCAGGATGTTTTGCTTGCCAGGGGGCCAGCAGGTTGTAGGAGCACAGAATGGTGAGCCCCCAGTGTCCACTAGGAACTCGGTGGACTTCACCTCCATTTTTAAAGTTACCCTGGGTTTGGGGAGGGGTGCCGAACCCCATCTCCCCTAGTCACTGTCATCTCCCATTACTAGAATGGGAGCTTTAGACTTTTTCTTGGGGCAATCTTTGGCCCAATGTCCTTCTTTGCAGTAGGTGCATTGATTTTTGCCTAAGCGAGGGTGCCCTTTGAGCCGCTGGGATTGGAGTTCTCCTTACCTTCTTTTCCTGAAGCCAACTGCCTGAGGCGTCTTTTCCGTTCCTCCGGTTCTGCAGTTGCTGCAAGTAGGATCTTGGCTAAACCCTGGTTTTGTCTCTTCTCAGCTCTTATCTGTTTGTTTGTCCTCTGCCCTTTCCCTGTTGCTGTATACCCTTTCTGCCCCGACCACTAGATCTTGGAGGCTCTTTTCCCCTAGACCTTGGCCTTATTAGTAGGCTTGCAAGCTGCAGCCTTGAGACCTGCCAATGGAGTCTGGCAGTAGACTAAGAGACTCTCCTTACCTTCAGCCGAGTTATAGTCCCAATCCAGCCATGCCAGGGGAAACCCAGCATCAATTTGATCCTGATCAATCTCAGTGGGACCTCTAGTGGGACCAGGAACCAATTTCCTGGCTTCCGACGGATTCTTTCCCACTCCTCAGTAGTGAACAGAACAGCTTCTAATAGGTTAATAAGGACGCGGGGATTCTCCGAGAACGGAGTGTTTTGAGACCTCCAATTGTACAGATCACTCTTGGTGAAGGGCCAGTAATGGTGGGGCTGGTTGCCCCTATCATCAGGGGGGCAGCCCGTTGCCCTCAGGGGCAGGACAGTAGAGTCCGGCCCCTCAGGCATTGCTTTGAGGTAGCTCCAGGTCCCTAGGGCGGGGCCCATTTCCACCGACCCCACGGCCTCTGGGACAGAGGGACAGAGGGCACCGGTGGTTCGGGTGGCGCCCTTTGCCCTTCCTGCTGGGTCCTGTGGAGGGGGTTGGTAAGGAGGGGGAGAAGTTAATTTTTCCTCCGTTCCGCTCTGTAAGAAAGGGTAGAGAGGTGCAGAGGGTTTAGTTTCCTTTTTTTTTTCCTTTTTCGGTGGCTCCAAAGCCCAGGTGGGCGGGTGCTTTTCAGCCAACGCCAGGACGTCAGGTTTCTGTGGAGGCAAGAAACTTTTAATCTATGGGGGTGGGTTATCAATCAGATCGGCCCAAACCACAATGTCCAGTGGCCATCTCACATTGAAAGTGGACCATTCTGAGCTGCAGTAAGTTTCAAATGGACCTTTCCTGACAATCACTGAGAGGTTATGAGCTCATTTTTTAACCTCTCCAAAATGGGCTAACATTAAGTCTAAGGGTTTGGATGAAGTCTATCCCATAGTGTCAGTCTCAGTCACAAGGTAATAGACACCAACAGAGAAAATTGACAACCATAGAGAGACACAGACACAGAAGGCTAGCCAACAGAAAAATAAGATGCCGGCCTCACGCTGGTTCGCGGTAGCAACCTGCTCCGTCTGTTACCAAGTTCTGTTACTGGTGGGGCCTCGAACCCTGTTACCGATGGGGCCTCGAACCCCATTACTGATGGGAGCCTGGAATGTCTTCACAGGATCCCCTGTGGTCACGGTCCCGTGGCGCGTCCACCTGACCATAATTGACCACTTCCCAATCCCAATATGCTCTGGGACCAGAACATAAGACAGGAAGAGTTAGACTAAGAGACAAGTACACTTACCAGCTGGCGGTAGGCCCCACGTGTCGGGGGTCCTTGGGGGGTCTGGGGGGAATCCCGGACGAGCCCCCAAATGTTATGCCCAGATCGCGATCTCCCCAAAATCCCAAGACCACCAAGGAGTCCAAATCACGTATGCAAAAGCAAAGGGCTTTATTACCGGCTCGAGCTCGGGCTCTCAGACCTCACCAACGCAGTGGATCCGTGCTGAGAGCCCCGAACAATGGAGGAGTAGGGTTTTTATGGGGTTTGTGACAGGGGAGTTACAGAAGCTGTGGCATGGGAACAGTGATCCAATCATAATTATTCAACATCATTGACAGCGGGTTTAACCATACACATTGTCTAGAGTATTCGTTACTTTTGGCAGGATCCAATTACAACATTTAGAATACCTTTAAATTCAACCAATCACAGAGCGAGCCTAGGGTCTTGTTCGGCGACTAACGGGTTAACTTTAACATTAGGTAACAGGGTTCTATCTATAGTTTCTATCTCTAGGCCTCTCCCTTAGTATTGTGGAGGGTGGTCCCCGGCCTTTCCTGATTGGGTGTTGCAAGGGTGGTTTCTCCTGCCTTGGGCAATGTGTAACTGCCTGATAGTTTTGGGGAAGCTGAAACTTAGGCCTTCTAGTTTATTTTATTATTATTATTTTTTAATGTTTTATTTATTTCTAGGAGGGAGAGAGAGACAGTGTGAGCAGGGGAGGGTCAGAGAGAGAGGGAGTCACAGACCGAAACAGGCTCCAGGCTCTGAGCTGGCAGTCAGCACAGAGCCCGACGCGGGGCTCGAACCCACGAACCGCGAGATCATGACCTAAGCGAAAGTCAGACGCTTAACCGACTAAGCCACCCAGGCGCCCCAGGCCTTCTAGTTTAGAGGGGAAATTTAAAGCCTGTCATGGAGTCAGTTTGGTTTAGACATTTAGACTTGTGTCCTTACAGTATGTCCTTAGGCAAGGTTTAACCTCTCTGTACATCAGTTTAATGTATAAAATAACAAGGATAGGATTGCTGTAAAATAACTGAAGTAAGGACTATAGATTAGTATGTAGCTGTTATGGGCTCAATTTTGTGCCCCCAGAATTCATATGTTGAAGTCCAAATCCCCAGGATGTCAGAATGTGATCATATTTGGAGATACGGTCTTTGAAAAGGTAATTAAGTGAAAATGAGGTTATTAGAGTGGGCCCTATTCCAACTTGATGGGTGTCCTCATAAGAAGAGGAAATATCGATGTAGACAGGTACAGAGGAAGACTTTGTGAAGACATAGAGAGAAGATGGCTATCTATAACTCAATGAGAAAGGTCTCAGAAGAAACCAATCCTGCCTACACTTGATCTCAGACTTCCAGCCTCAAAAATGGTGAGAACATAGATTTCTGTTGTTTAAGCCATTCAGTTTGTGGTACTTTGTTATGGTAGCCCCAGCAATCAAATAGGCTGGTATATGCTGAGTATTAGATAAACATCAGGTATTATTTCTCAAGGAAGCTTTCTCTCAGGACCCCTTTTGTAAATTCTTATAGCCCCCAGTGTTTTCCTTTGTGGACTCTTTCATGGATTGTAATTACATAGTTTTCGTTTTGTTTTGTTTTGTTTTCTTTTTTTTTTCCTAACTCCATGGTTATTGCTCATGCTGGATTGTAAAATCTGTGAGAACAGGGACCACGCCCATTTTACCCCTTACTATTCCCATCATTGGCACAGTCCTCTGCTCATGCACATAAAAACATGATGCACATTTGAAAGTTGTTAAAAGAGTAGATCTTAAAAGTTCTTATCACCAGAAAAAAAATTTTGTAACTATGGTGGCAGAAGTTAACTAGACTTATTGTGATCATTACACAATATCTATAAATATTGTATCATTATGTTGTACACCTGAAACTAATGTTATATGTCAATTATACCTCAATAAATAAAGCAAAAAGACCTACCGTCAAAGAATGTCCACATTTTGGGACCAAGTGAATTAATCTTTAAATGAAAAGCCTTCAATATTCAATGTCATAATAGCTAACATATATTGAACCCTAACTATATACTGAGTGCCTGGCCTGGATATGATCTGATTAAATCACACATGCCTGTAGTAAGGCACTTCTTGTTACTATTTTATTGATGGGAAAAAAAAAAAGGACTAATATAGTACAGCTAGTCAGTGGTGAAGCCAAGGCTTAAATCTGTGGAGACATTAGCTACCATGCTAGACCACCTTTTCATATTTCAATTAATCCACTTGAACTGGAGTAAATATATACAGATAAAATTATAGATAATCTAAGAGGGCCTGGAGTAGGTAACTAATATATAGCTACTCAGAATCTTTAAGAACATCAGCTGGAGGTGGGAGAGAATGAGAGGAAGGAGCAGGTTTCCCATACCCTAATAAAAGAAAATGTATATCACTGAATTCAGCAAATATTTCCTGAGGAACTACTGTGTGCTCAGCCCTACACACAATACAAAATACAAATACAAACCCAGCCCTTGCCTGATCGGGGCTTTCATTCTTGTATGAACACAAGTAGCAATGATGTATTAACCGCATTAGGGTACAAAGTACTGGGGAAAGGCTTGCCAGAGTTAGCAATAAAATAAGATACCCAGCTGAATTTGAACTTCAGGTAAACAATAAAAACACTAGAAACAGTCATTGTTTATCTGAAATTCAAATTTAACAGGGTGTCCTGTATTTTATGTGGCAAGCCTAGAGGTGATGGAATTCCAGTCTGAACATGAGCAAAGACAGAGGCAGGAGAGCATAAAGGGTTCAGAGAATAAGTAGGTGATGTGTTTAGAAGAAGTCAGAAAATAGGATAGGAAATCAGGTC